CCCTCTCCCATATTAAGGGGAAATATCTCTAAGAGCTCTTCTGTGGGATGAACTCCAAGAAGGGGCATGAATGTGGTGACTCGTATGCAGAAAGCGTGCACATGTGCTTCTACAATGGACTATGGGGGCTGCTTTTGGAATAGACCTGGTAGATTTCTATGAGGTTGATCATTCCCTTAAACAGCTTGTTTGTGGTATCAAAAACTTCTGTATTCAGCACTCTTATTCACTCCTGTGGCTTCCATTTCCCCCTTTATTTCTAAATACGCATTTCCAGCCTTGACATGGTGTTTGAGCTCCAAATACACAAAGCCCCTAACCATCTTCACAGGAACCGCTCAGAGCATTTCAAACGGAACAAAGTGAAACACCTGCCCTTCCTTCAAACCTGCCCCTCCTCCCCTCTTCCCTATTTCCAGGAAACATAGCATGCTCACCAAGTCACCCAGATGCAAACCCTGAGTCCTGACTGACATCTCCGTCTCCTCACCCACAACCAAAAGACCAGGCCAGTCTTCCTTGCCATATGTTCCAGGTCCCGCCACATCCCTCACACCCTCTGATCCCCTCCATAGACACACTCACCCTCAGTTCTTTCCAGCACGGGGAGTCAGATTCATCTTTCAAGCACCACCCTCCTCCCCAGAGATGCACTTTAACTTCAGCCCGCATACCTCACTCAGGGGTCCCCATTGTCTGAGACAAACTATCTCACAGCCTTTCCCTCTCTAGACCCACACATCCTCCCTGGGCTGCCCAGACAGGCCCCACCACACTCCCAGAGCAGGCCAGCCAGGGGCCTGGTCCCATGTTGGAGCAGAAGGCCGGGTGGTACAGACTTTAGCCCTGCCTGGTTGCCCATAGTAACGGGAAGGAATCTCTCTGTGTCTGAGGCTCCCACTCAAGAGGCCCCTCTCTGGGCTGCAATGATTAACAGTCATGAGTGGCGCCAGGATCCATGAATCACAGGCAGAGATGGACGCTGGGAGCAGGGTCAGGGCACAAAGGCAGTAACTCAGGTCCCCCCAGCCTCATACCGTCTGCCCCTCACACAGTCCCCAGGCCCGAGTGAGGACCCGGGACAGGCCTGTGCCCAGTGAGAAGTGAGGATCAGGCCAGTGCTCTTCTCTGCCAAGGGGCTATCTTTCTTCCAGTTCTTGTCTCACCAACTGTTTCTCTGCCTTTTCGTCTTGGTCCAGATCACATGGCATTGCTGACGCACTGATCAGATCACCTCTAATGGGACACTGACTCTAAAGATGGCCTCTTTAAAATATATAATATCAATTTTCCACCTTGAAAACTGTACAGTATACCTAATTCTAAAATGAAAAGCATAGCTGTATAAATCTAAGCTTCATTCCCATAATAAAAGCTGTTTCCTAGGGACATATGCTCAGAGAAGGTTAGCAAAATGCTATTTTTTTTCTTTCTTTTATTTAGCTGGTTTAATGGTGTATCACTTTATCCCAGGACCCTGGCTAACTAGGCAGCCACTGGAAGACTGCTAATCAACAAAGCACAGGGAAGTGGCAAGTGTAGGAAACTGTGCCCTGGCACTTGAAAGTTTAACCTTGAAATGACATGTAACAGTTCAACTCATTTTTGGGGGGAAGGGGGCTGTGTTCCCCAATCAGGGATTGAACCCAGGCCTTGGCAGTGAAAGTGCCAAGTCCTAACCACTGGACCAGCAGGGAATTCCCTCAGCTCATGTTTTAGTGATCGAAACAAGTCACATGTTCTCATCTCACTTCAAGTAGGTAGGGAAATGCAATTCTACCGTGGACTTAGAAGGAGAGCTAAAAATAGCAAACTGCACAAATGGCCAGCAGTGGCAGACTCAAATCCCTGGCCTGCAGATGGAGGTATGAAGGGACAACTGCTTCCTCTCAACAGATGGAACTACCTGTTGGTTCCACCTGTTGCAACCAACTACATGGGTTGTGATTTCTCCAATGAGCAAAACAGCAGTGTACTCCCTTCTGTGGTTTACAAGTATGTACAGACGCTTTCCAGAAACAAACAAGGAACCTGATTGCCCTGGAAATGGTGGGTGTGGAGCAAGAAATTTTGCCTTTCACTTTATATCTTTTGCAATATTTGAAATTCTAATCATGGCATTCATTTGTGCAGATTTATCTATAGGATGGGTTTCCTTGGTGGCTCAGGGGTAAAGAATCCGCCTGCCAATGCAGGAAATGCAAGTTTAATCCCTGGGTTGGGAAGATCCCCTGGAGAAGGAAATGGCAACCCATTCCAGTATTCTTGCCTGGAGAATCCCATGGACAGAGAAGCCTGGAGGGTCACAGTCCATGGGGTCACAAAGAGTTGGACACGACTTAATAACTAAACAACAACAACAATCTATGAGACTCTTCTTCCCTACTCTAACTACTCAGCAGAAGAGAGTGCAAATGGCCAAATAATTGAGTGCTTATGATTTGGAGTAACCAAGCTTTGCCCAAAATAGATCATCCATGTGCTGATGAGACTGACTTCGGGTGAAAGAACACTGCCCTGCCCCCAGGAACCCAGCCAGCTCCAGCCCCAGATATTTCCTGGTACTTGATGCTTCTCTGGAGGAAACAGTAAGGACTCCGGCCTATGTCCCCAAGACTCAGAACATTTCTTCTCAGTCCAAAGGACACATTATACCATCCCTGGACTTAGAGAAGAAAAGCAACAGAGGACACCATGACCATGGCTCAGAGCAAGCAAGTCCAATGTACTAGTTTCTTAAGAATTTTCCTCTAGGATTGCTTCCTACTACCATCTTGGAGCCCAAGAAGGGGTCCTGGGCAGGACAGGAGTTCAGGTAAGGTGTGCTGATCAACTGCAGGCAGCAGGAAGCTGTCCTCACAGAGCCTGGCCCTGGGGACCCTTCGTGCCATCACTGTAGGACTGGGAGTCAAAATGCAGTTGGTCATGGGAAGGATGGAAAGATGGAGTCACAACATGAGAAACAGCCTACCTGGGTGCATGACCCAGGGCCAGTGGTGGTCCAAACCCTACTCTGCTCTCCACATCCAAGCATGCATCCACTGCCAGCTGGAGGGGACTGCTCAAGACTTAGAAGATGTCCCTCATCCTCAGTCAGCCTTCTCAGAACAGGGCCTCAGCGCCCAGGGCAGAGCAGGGGCAAATGGGTAGAGAGTGCAAGTCATTTAAGATACAGATGCGAAAAAAAAAAAAAAAGATATAGATGCGATATGTTCCTTTATCGTTCAACAAATAGTTCAGTATTTTGATTCATACGCATTTTTGATTAGCAAGGAGCTCAGGACCAACATGGGAACTAAAGGACACACAACATGTCTAATAACTAACCCCTACCCTCACCAAACCCACCACCCAGAGGGGAGTATGACCCAAAACCAGACACTGGGGTGCAGACTTCAGTGAGGCTGACAGAGTCACACACACAGGAGTCACCTCTCCTGACATTCTCAGGAGCTGCATCCCCAGCGTCTCCAGGTATTAAAGTCATTCCTTCCTGTCCCTCATTCCCACCTGGGCAGGCAGATACCTTTCCACTTTAGTCCTATAATCATATTAGTCTTCTGGTATCTGTTCTTTTTTTTTTTTTTTAAGATTTATTTGTTCCTTTGTTTGTTTGTTTGACTGTACCATATCTTAATTTTAACATGCAGGACCAGGATGGGGAATACATGTAAATCCATGGCTAATTCATTTCAATGTATGACAAAAACCACTGCAATGATGTAAAGTAATTAGCCTCCAACTAATAAAAATAAATGAAAAAAAAATAAATAAATAAAAAATAAACTGGCCCCACCCCGACCCCCGCAGCCCTGGGCCCAGGCCTTGCCATGTCCTGCATGGACTAGGATCCTAACACTCACTGCCCCCACCTGAGGGTGCTGAGAGACCCATAACAGTCAGTGATTTCTTTTTTCCTTTAATTTTTTGTTAGGTAATAAAAATAAATAAATAAAATAACATGCAGGATCTTCAACTTCATTGTAGTATGTGGGATCTAGTTCCCCGAGCAGGCATTGAACCTGGGCCCCCTGCATTGGGAGTGTGGAGTCTTAGCCACTGGACCACCAGGGAAGTCCCGTGGGACCTGTTCTAACTTTTCTTCCTTTCTTTGAGAAATTTGACTGTCCTTCCTTATACCCAAACCAAATAAAACCCCTCTTTCCCAAGGATATGCCTCTTCCTTCTTTCTCTGTTCAAGCAAGTTAGCAGTTTTAAACATTAGCTGAAGAATTGTGTCTTCTGGAACAAGGTTGTCAGAACCAGAGCTTTTCTAGTTGTAATAAATAAGAATCCATTCAAACCCACTTGAGCCAAAATTTATTTATTATAAGGTATCAAGTTGTTCCAGACAATCAAAAGGCAGGTTTTCCCAGTTCTTGGGGACCACATAATTTCTCAACACCATCTCACTATGTATCTCCCTCATCCTTCCTTTTTGACCAGGCCACACATGTATCATGTGGGATCTTAGTTCCCCAATATCAGGAATCGAACTCATGCCCTCTGTGTTGTTAGTGCAGAGTCTTAAGCATTGGAATGCCAGGGAAATCCCATCTTCTTCATTCTTCTCTCCATGGTGGCTTTCTCTACTTCTCTACCCACATCATGGAAGATGCCAAGGTTTACAATTCCTTAGCTCAAGCAACCCTCAGAATTCTAATCTCAAAATTTCAAAAGAAGGGCACATGAAAAAAAAAAAAAAGAAGGGAACATGTTTCAAGTTGTCCACCTGAAATATCAAATAACTGTGACCCAGAGAGACAGTCATGTAATTCCAGCACGACTGTAAGATCCACCTGGGAAGATGGAGCATCTCTTACAGAAGAGGAGAATACTGTCCTGGGCAGATAACCCCAAACTCCACATCACCTGCATCATGGCACTTTAGGAACTTATTAGGATTATGTATAGTCAACCTACAGAGAAGCTGGCCAGGCCTCTTGTGTGCAGATAGAAGTGTCTACAGCAACAAGGGCAATGCTGACCTGTCCAGTCCTTCAGTCAGCATTCTTCGTGGTTGGAGCAGCTTCCATGAGCAGCTGGAGATGCAGGGTGACCACCTGCAAACACTTGGGCTGGTACCGGAAGTAGACAAACAGGAAATAGACTGGGAAGCCACTGAGCAGGAACAGGAAGACATACAGGAACTCTGGCTGGGGATGGGCCACAATGGGTGCCAGCACCAGGTAGACAGATGCAAGGACCATGGTGGCAGGGATGATGATGGGGACCTGCAGGGACAGAGAGACCAGGATGATGAAGACATGCCTGGGAGGTGGCACAGGGCACTTGGGGTCTATCCCTTCTGCCTGCCTGCCTTCCTGCTGCATCCACCTGCCACCGACTCCTCTCTTCCAGAACCTACCATAACAACTCGTCAGGCCAAGGGAGACACCTGCTGGGCTACAGAGGCCCCTTCAGGAAGCAGAGACTTCGGTACCCAGCCTGATCCTCTCTGTTATGAGTCTCGCTGGGTGCGTGCATCCTCTCTCTGTTCAACTCCCACTGTTCTCCCCCAGTGTCCTCCAGAGGAGAAAGGCATCCCCAGCAAGGAGGGTCAATGCCTTGTGATCCAACTGTCCCTTATCCCCCAGGACACACAGAAATTCCCTCCCAAGTACAAGAGTGTTGACCACTTTCTTTCTTCCTCTGGGCCCCAAGTGAGGCCGTGGTCCAACCATCTGCATCATGCAACAGCTTATAGTTGAAAAAGAAGCCCATGTATGTCCTGAAATCTACCTTGTAAGGTCGGGGAAGATTCTTCTTTATCCGTAAGTACAGGAGACAGCTGAAGGTGATTCCGTAGGTGAGCCAGCCAAGGAAGCTGAAAGGCAAATGTGAGCCACTCGTTAACAGGCCCCACCACGGTGGGGCTGGCAAGAAGGGCCGGCCTACTAGGTGCAAACCTAGAACAGAGCTGCAAGCACATCAGAGCCTCTCAGCCACCCCCAGCTCCCCTGATCCATTCAGCCAAAGGAAAGAAGAATGAAGACTGAGGCACTGAGGACAGGGGTGTACTGGAGGATCCAGCTGGAGCTTTGTCTTCAGGCAGAAAGGGGCACACACACAAGCCCACTCGTCCACAAGGCTCCAGATCAGGCCTGCTCTGACTGCCCCTGGCTGGCTGGAGGAGGACAATTTCAAAGGGAGGGAGGACTATCTGTGTTTCCAAAAGAAAGAAGCTGGTGGGACCTCAAGGAAGGCTGTGTTCCCTCAAGGGCTGCACACTCATAGCAGCCTTGGAGTTGGTGATGGGCACCAGAAAAACCTCTGTCCTCTGTGTCTGGTGTAGGTCTGATGTAAACTCCATATAACCTTGGAGGCCATCTCTTGAGGTTGTCCAGATGGGGAGATATGGGGCCCTGGTTGACGTGAATCATTCTTGAGTTCTCATCTGTGCCAGGACGTTCTCTGTCACTCTCCCCTATCTCAGGCTGAAGCCCTTAAGAGACACCACGGATTTGATTTTATCTTCACCGAACAATGATTTTTTTCTTTCTCACGAGAAAAAAGATGAAAAGAAAAACAATGTCTGTTACTTAATGTTCTGAAGAAAGGGACATCGAGTACTATATATCCTGTTCCAAAAGATTACTCTTAGGACAACAAAGGAAGAGAACATGTGATGCTTGCAAAATTACTCTGAGAAGTCCTCTGCCCCAGACATCATGCCTGCCTGGTGGGTCAAGAGTCTGCTTGTTGAGAGAAGTTTAAAAATGCCACTGGATATCACAATAACCCATCATTTGTGCCCCAGAGAAGGCAATAAATGGGATCAGAACATCTCCCCACTTTGATGCGATTCTGGAGTGTGCCCACACAGCTTGGCTGTGGGTCTGTCCTGAGTTCAGCAGAGCTCTGTTGGGTCAGATCCAGAACAAAGCCCAGCCTACAAAGGAAAAAAATGACACCAAGCCAAAGTCTACGAGTCACGTGAGTGAAGCCTGAATATTTTTACACTGTCCTGGAGACAGAGTAAAGGAACAAAAAAAAAGAAAGAAAATGATAAAGACAACACAAGACTTTATTTTTTGGTGAAAACTGGTCTCATTGAATTTATGGAAACAGGGCAAGAGAGGAGGGCATTATGTTTAATTTGGGAAACTTAATTGGGAGAGAATGGTTAAAATAGTGTGTGTATGTGCATATGTGTGTGTGTGTGCAGGCGCTCTGAGCCTGAGCTTCCAGAAGTGTGTGCATGTGTTTCTGTGTGTGTGTGTGTGTGTGTATCATAGGGGCTTCTGGAAATGTGCATGCACATAAGAGTATATATGTGTGCATGTCTGTGAATGGGTATACATAGGGGCCATGAGATACTCAGCCTGGGGGGTCAGTCTCACTTGCCTCAAGAAGTTCACGATGGTGTTGAAGTTTCCTGAGATGACCAGGATCAAAGCCATTGCTGTGGTGAACATCAGGGCTGGAGTTGGCGTGAGGCGATGCACGTGAACCATGGACAGAAGTTGGGGCTGGGGAGCAAAGTCAGGTGTCAGGTAACCTCCAGTGGAGCCCCAGTGGGGGTCTGTCCCCAGAAACTCCCACCCTCTTCTCCTGCCAAACTCCCTCAGGACACCAGGGTACCCAACCAGATAGTCCCCAATTCCCATGACTTCCTTCCAGATGTAGGTCACTGGGGATCGCCTGGAGTGACCAGACTCAGGGGGCAGGTTTGGGGGGGGCATCCCTCCAGACCATCCAAGACCCTGTAGCTTAGGATGTGGGGTTGCAGTGTGGAGAGCTGTAGCAAGTGCCTGGCTAACCAAAGCTTTTGACTTTCTATTGCTCCACCTGAAGACAGAAAGAAGGACCAGGAAGGGAAGACTGAGGAGGAGAGGGGAGAGGTCGGGCCGGGTGTGGGTGGAACAGGGAAAGGGATACTGGGTTACAGGGTAGACCGTGTTATCCTTCAGCAAATACGCAGTCCCCTGCTCTCTGCCTCTGTGGAAGAAATATATTAATAGTTTCCATCCACTGAGTTGAGCTTGCCAATGAACTGTGAGCAGTTCTAAATATGTGTGTGTGGTTTGGCCTGGTCTCTTGAACCCCTGCCACCTGCCATGGCAAAAACATGCCCCAGGAGCCCCTATGGCCTGGGTCCCAGGATTAAAACAGACTTGCAGTCAGAGTGAGAAGATGTGAACACAAGCCCTGGCCTGCAGCCGAGCCACTCGGACCCTTTAACTCATGAGCAACATGGAATGTCTGTTGTCCTAAGCCTCTGGAATTAGGGGCTGTCTCCCGTACAGCATTACGGCAGCAAAAACTGACAGAGTGACAGAGAGTCCCCCAGGTGTGGGGGGCCCAGAGGGTACACACTCGCTCCTGGGGCTCCTCCCCACTGCCCCGGTACCACTGTTGCACAAAGATGTCCTTGTTACCTACAAACCTCTACAGTGTGACCCAGCACGGTGATCTCCCAGAACCTGGAGGTAAAAGGACTGGAGTGTAAGTGGAGAGGTAGGGAATATGTGAGCCCCACTCTCAGCAGAGAAGAGGGCTATGTCTTTCAAGGAAGCCCTGGTTTGGGCTAAATGCTGAGCTCCGGGAGGAGAAAGCTTAGCTGGCTGTCCTTAGAGGTATGTCCCTCCCCCCGCAGTTCCTTAGCTCCTGCATCACTGTTGTCCATATGAGATCAACAGTTTTTAAAAGGCTAATTTTTAAACTCTATATTCTCCTGCTGCCCCCATCACCTTGCCCAGCACACACCCCATGTCTCACCAGGTGGCCCTCTCTGGCAGCCACGTAGGACACACGGCTCCCGCTGAAGAACGACCCATTGGCAGAGCCAAACGCCGAGAGGGCGACAGCCAAGGGCACCAGCCAGGCCCAGGCCCCCAGAATCTGGTTCCTAGGACAACAGAGGAATCGAGGGAGGGATCTCCAGCAGCAACCTGGAAGACAGCCTCAAGGCCACATCGAAATCGGAGCTTGCAAACCCAGGGGCTAGTTGGAATACTCTTGGGGGATTATCCTTCCCCAGGGCGGGGCTGTGCACAGCTCACGTGACTCACTCACCCCCAGCTCACAGCCATCGCGTCGGTGGAAAGGATCTCACTGGGCGCGAGCACTAGCAGGTAGCTGACGTTGGCCAGGATGTACAGGCCGGTGACCAGGGGGATGGTGATCATCAGGGCCCACACGAGGTTCTGCTGCAGAGTTGGGGAGAAGAGGCCACGTGTTAGCCCATGAGGTCTTTCCCAGGGTCTCCGAGCAAGCTCAGGAGTGCAGCGCCGAGCCGATCCTGGCCCCAGGGCACACGCCAGGCCAGGGGGCACTGGCCGCCTGTCCCTCCTTCATGAACTTAGAGTCCCACGGCATGGACAGGCCAACTGACAGGTGTGCTAGGAGGCCGTGAGAAGGACTCACAGTCAGAGCGGTGGAGGTACAGTGGAGGGTGGGCACTCGGGGATGGGGGGGAGCCATCATCAGAGCTTCTGGAATGAGCAGGGCCTTATGCTGGGTTCTTCTTAAAGAATGGAGGAGATTCTGGCAGGTGGGAAGCAGGGAGGGGCATTCCCAGCAGGGACACCCGCAGAGCAAGGGGTGCAAAGAGGCAGGAAAGTTAGAGATCTCCACAGTCAGATGGTTCCTCCAGCCTGTATTCCAGGACCCACTGTGCCCACTCTGCCTATTCTCTGGGTCCCCTGGATACAGGCCCAGACTGAGGGCCATTCCATCCAGGGGTTCTCTTCTGACCCTCAGTCTCCTAGAGAGGAAAATTGGGAATCACTGGGGATCTGTGAACTGGGACTCCCCACTGTCCTGCCTCTCTGCAGGGTGTGAGGATCAGCAAAGCGGAAGGGAAAGGAAGGGCCTGGACACAGGGACTGTGGGTACTGGGACTGGTTTGCATTGTAAGAGCCTCAGCACCTAGCTGACCCGGGTCACCCCCAAAAGTGTATTCAGCACGCATGCAATAAAAATTGAGGGATGCATGAAAAGTAGATGAAATCAGCGTGTGGACTGGTCCCTCCCACTCCGTACCCCTATTTCTGGACATCATTCTGGAGCCAGGAGCAAATGGAGGGAAAGGGCCTCCCTCAAACTTGACCCAGCATTTCCCTAGGCTCGGACTAGCCCTGCATAAACTTAGACTCCTGCCTAAATTTAGACTCCACAATAAGAACACATTTCAAAGCGGGAGAAGCATGTCCAGGGCACTCCCGTGTCTCCTGGAGGGCTTTCTCCAGAGGTGTTTTGGTTGACCTTGGGAAGAGCAGGCAAGCACTGATGAAAATCTACAACCCCTCCCTTCAGTACCAAAGGTACAACAGAACATGACATTGCTATTCCCGACATGTGAAACAATACAGAGAAGCCACCCTTCCTCGCTAAGACACAAGGAGCTCTCTTTCAGACTTGGGATGGGGCTGTCCCTGTGTGGGCTGCACCAGTGTTGCAGGCAGACCTCCTCCCCACCCCTAGAAAGGACACTCCTTCATTTAAGCATCTACCCCTGACGCACATATCTTCTGTTCTCCGATATGATATAAAAGGCAGTTTCTATGGGACTCTGTAATAACCTAGAGGAAAGGGTGAGATGTGGGAGGGACTCAAGAGGAAGGGGACATATGTACACCTATGGCTAATTCATAGGTGTATGTATGACAGAAATCAAACCAATACTGTAAAGCAATCATCAATCAATTAAAAATAAACAAATAAAAGAAATATTTAAGACTTTTTAAAAAGCAGTTTCTAGAGCTTTTTGCCAGAGCTGAGATCTGCCTGCAGGAAAGTTTGGAAGTGGGTTTGGGAGGAAGGGCAGGGGGCATGGAGGATGTAGAAATAATCTCGGAGCCCACTTCTGGTCCTTGGGGTCAGCCTGGGTGCTGAGCCGGTCCTCAGATATTCCCCCAGACCCCTCGTAAAGTCCAAAGTTTCCCACTGCCTCGCAAGAGCCCTGCAGACCAACCCCCTCCCAAAGCAATGACTAGCCAGCCCCAGGCTCACAGGTGGAGTGAGCCAGCCAGGACTGGCTTGTTCTTCTGTCCCAGCCCTGAAGCTATGTCCTATAGTGGGTTCCCATGCTTCAGCAAATATGACTTACATATCTACTACAATGTTCCAGAGAGAACAACCCAGGAGAGAGAAACCTGAGTCATCAAGCACAGCTCCTTACAAGGGGTCTGACTTCCAAGTCACTCCCCCTTTCTAAACCTCAGTTTTCCCACATGAAAAATGGGATGATAATGTCTACCTTCCAGGAAAGCAAAATGAGCCCATGGATAGGAAACAATAAAGTTCCCCCCTTACGTGAGAAACTATTATTCATATAATTACATAAACTAATCAGGAAAGACATTGGGCTGGCACTTTAGTCCCATGAGTACAGAAAGGCAGCCCCTCTTTTCAGCTGATTTCTCACAGTCTTCGCTCAAATAACAATTATCAGAACAATTAATATTTGGAGATTTCAGCCCCTGAAGCAGTGTCGCGGACTCACGTTTGAATTCTTGAGTTCCTCTGTCACCTGGTTGAGGCTATTCCAGCCATCAAAGGACCACAGGCACTGGTAGAAGGCCATGCTGATGTGCCCGGCCTGCTGGGACGTGTTGTGGAAGGCAGACAGGAGGGCTTCAGTGCGGCCTCGGCCCTGGCCCAGCACCACAGCACCGCCCCCCACGATGACCAGCAAGGAGAGCACTTGGATGGTCGTGCACACATTCATCAGCGTGGTGGTCATCCGCGAGCTCCAGCAGTTGACCAGCATCAGCAGCAGGATGCAGGTGGCAGCCACCACCTTGAGCATGGCCTGGGGCAGCGAGGAGCAGCCTGGGTAAAAGGGGACCAGGACGTACTCGGCAAAGCTCAGTGAGATGGCCGCGATGGTGGCCGGTCTGCCCACCAGCACAAACATGTAGATGACCAGGAAGGCGGGTAAGGAGCCAAAAGTTCGTAGGATGTAGGTATATTCTCCTCCAGATTCGGGAACCAGAGTCCCCAGTTCAGCATAGCACAGGGCACCCAGTGTGGCCAGAAGGCCACAGACTGCCCAGACCACAAGGCTGGCCCCAGGGCTGCCCATGTAGACTAAGACGCCCTGTGGTGCCATGAAGATGCCGGAGCCGATCATAGAGCCTGCAGTCAAGGACACAGCGCTCCACAGGCCCATGTCCCTCCTCAGCCTCAGCCCCTCATCCCCCGCCTCCTGCTCGGCCTCCCCCTCATCACCATCTCCTTGCTGACTTCTCTTCATCCCGGAGCTTCAACAGTCACTGCAGCTAACTGAGCAGAAGCAGATGCTCTGATACCTATCGGGTTCATGGGCTTCCTGCAGGAGTTAATGATTACAGAGCCTGGAGGAATCTGAGCCAGGGACCAGAGAGCCAGAAGACAGCATTCAGAGGGGACCACGCCTCTCCTGATCTCCCAGCCCTTGTCCAGCCAGAACCCAGGACAGGGAGGTTGCAGGAGCTGTTCACTGATGCAGCTCAGGAAAAGTTAAGGAAAGCAGTTTTAGTAGGAAGCCCTGATGCCCAATTGCATAGCAACATGTCTGTGGAATCACAGTTGGCTGAATGCTCCGTGCCAACAGTATGACTGCTGAGTTACTGCACATCAGGACCCTAAGAAACTTCTAGAATACTTTTATCAGCCAAACAATATAATCCCAGCTTTATTCAGATTCCAAGAAAAATGGCATGAGTCCTGTTCTAAAGCAGAATGAAAATGTTTAAAGAAGAGGATCCAAATAGTTTGAGAGAGAACTTATTCCCCCTGCAGGAAGGCAGTAGGTGGTTAAATGTACAGGGTCTAGAGTGGAACCACCTTCATTCAAATCCCAGCTCTAGTTCCTCACAGCTGTGTGACCTGAGACAAGGCCTCTGAACCTCACCCTATTCAGCAGTAAACTGATTACAATACCCACTATACAGGGTTACTCTAAGTACCAAATAACTTAAAAGCCATTCAAAGTAGCTAGAATAGCGAATGACATGTAATAAGATTTCCTTATATATTAGCCATCACTATCTGGCTAAGAGTTTCATTAGTTTCCTAAAGATAGATAGACAGATAGATTGATATTTAATTTAACATAATTTTATTGATATATGGATAATCATTTCAAGATACAGTATATAACTTTTTAATTGATCTTCCCTTATATTTTTCAAATCTTGACTTATGAACGTTACTGGTATTATTATGCAGAGTCAATGGAACTCAGTGGTATTTTGGGTAAAGTTGCTGGCATCCAAAGTGGGCAGTGTGGTACCTGCAGTCACCTGAACAGACTGGCCTAGCTCAAGCCAGCCATATGGATTGCTTGGATCTCATGTGCATGTATAATCAACAAAACTCAAGACAGATGCAAAGAGCGTCGCTGTCACTGATTCCATCCTGCCTCCTCCCCTTGCTATACCAAAGCCCAAAGGGCAGCAGTCCTCAAAAAATATAGGGCCATCTTCTTCAGAAATAACTCTGGAGAAGGGGCCCTCCAAGATTCAAAAGGAGGTCCTCCAAAATCCTTACCCAGTAGGAAGAGAAAGAAGAGGAAAAAGAAGCAGAAAAGAAAGAAAGTATATAGAAGAATTGATGGAAAGAAGTTAGGAAAGAAGAGAGTCCTGAAGGCTTGGGAAAGGAAACCAACTACCTTTCTGGTCATAGCTAAACAGTAACCAAGATGCTCAGACTTGTCTTTCTGCGGGCACTGCTGCTGGTGGGTATTGTAAAGGTTAGCCAACTGCAGAGAGTGAGAATAGTCCACAAGGTCATGGTCACCTCTCACACCGCCGGCAGTTCTCAGGGTTTCCAAGACCACCCTCAGACCCAATAATTTGCTAGAAGGACTCACAGAATTCACCAAACGCTTTTACACTCAAGTTATATTTTATTACACTTAAAAGATACAGATTAAAGTCAGCCATGGAGGGGAGGAGAAAGGCCAGAACCCGAGGGTCCAAACAGAGCTGCCAGCCCTCCCCGCCCAGTGGAACAGGATGTTGGTATTCTCCTGCCATCAGTGTTGACAACACACACATCACACTGCCAACCAAGGAGGCTCTCCGTGTCCACTCTTTACTGGGGTCCCATCACTTAGACATGGCTGGCTGCTCCTATGGCTGGCCTCAGTTTCTAGCCCCTCAGGAGGTCAAAGTGACATTTCATGACCCAAAGATCCCATCCAAAATCACACCCTTAATACTATCTGGTTGGCCCAAGACCCCCAGGCAATTTTGATCAAGCATGACATTCCAAGGGCTTAGAGATTACCTCCCAGAAGCTGAAAGTAAGGGCCAGACCTCTGTTGGGGCAAGGTTAAATTCTTTGCCACACAGATGTGGCACTTGTGACCTGAAGAACATTATGAGCACATAAATATGGGGTTTGGGGTGGGGTGGTTTTTTTTTTTTGGCTGCACTGGGTCTTTGTCGCAGCCCACAGGTTTCTCTAGTCACTGCACCAGGACTTAGTTGCCCCAAGACATGCGGAATCTTAGTCCCCCAATGAGGGATCGAACTCACATCCTCTGCATTGGAAGATGGATTCTGAACCACTGGACCATGAGGGAAGTCCCTAAATATTGTTTTTAATGACTCACCTCATGTGTCAAAAGAAGAGGCCCTGAATGCCAGACTAAGAAGCTGGGGCCAGCCAGGAATGGGAAGGAGACAAGCAGAAGGGAGAGTGGGGAAGGGCCCACCGCAGGGTCTTCTGAGATGCGGAAACTGGAGACTCCGGGGTTCTGTGGGCTTCAGTTAGCAAGCTCTGCTGCCTTTGCAGAATCTGACACAGCGTGGTCTTCTGCTCCAGGGCAGGGTCTGCCTATGATCAGGGACCCCCCAAAGCAGAGCCAAGCTCAGACGGCGTCCCTGTGCTGCCACCACAGGTGGAAGGGGTGGCCGATGTGACCCAGTTTGAGGCTCAGCAGAACGGACGCAGCGAGAGGAAATTCAGCGTCAGAGAACCAGATGCTGGTTCTTCTTCATCACTGTGCTCTCAACAAGATCTTCATTAACTCAACTTCCCATCACTAAAATGAGGATGATTCTCCCACAAAAGTGTTCATGAGAATAAGCCAAAATCCCTTGTATCCCACCATCCAGGGGAGATGAATGGAGTTATATTATCAAAAACTCACAATTTCAGGACTTCTCTGATGGTCCAGTGGCTAAGATACCATGCTCCCGATGCAGGGGGCCCAGGTTTGATCCCTGGTCAGGAACTGGATCCCCCATGCCATAACTAAAGATCCCACATGCCATAACAAAGATCAAAGACCCCATATGCTGCAACTTCTCCAGGCCAGAATACTGGAGTGGGTAGCCTTTCCTTTCTCGAGGGGAATCTTCCCAACCCAGGGATTGAACCCAGGTCTCCCACATTGCAGGTGGATTCTTTACCAGCTGAGCCACAAGGGAAGCCCAAGAATACTGGAGTGGGTGGCTCATTCCTTCTTCAGCGGGTCTTCCCAACCCAGGAATCGAACCAGGGTCCCCTGCATTGCAGGTGGATTCTTTACCAACTGAGCTACCAGGGAAGCCCAACTAAGACACAGCACAGCCAAATAAATACATAAAAAGAACCTCACATTTCCTGCTCTTGCCCCCAATCTCACGCCTGATCTCAAGGCCCCTGCCATGTCTCCTCAAGTATAGCTGGGACATCACAAGAAATCTCACCTGTGCTCAAAACCAGCCTGCTAACCTCTGTCCATACATGGCATCCACTCGACTCCCCATCCTCCTCCAATCCTGCCTGTCAGTGCCTGAGATCAGGGATCAGCAGTTCTTTCTGTAAAGGACCAGATAGTAAGGCATTTGGGGCTTAAACAAGAAAAAAAAAAAAAAGCTGAATCCTGGTCAGAACAGGAAGCTTTATGAACTAGCTGGCTAAACACTGGCATGCTCCTAGTACATACACAGAGCCCTTCTGCAAAAACTAAGAGATTTTGTTGATATCAGCCATTGAAGAAACTCTCCTTCTGATCACTGGCTGCCTACTAAGCTAATAGAACAGAGAACTTAGGGGCCACACACAACCATATAGATATTATAAAATAGTTCATAAAAGTCACTAAACAAGAGCAACTTCTACAAGCAGCACCAAAAAAACCCTTGGAAGGCAATTTGATTTCCAGATTTGCCATATTATAGTATTTTAAATGTCCAGTTTTCAACAATAGCAAATAATGGGGCATGCAAAAAAAAAAAAAAACCACAAGAAAATATAGCCCATGGATGAAGGCAGCAAAGGCAAGTTATCAATGGAAACTATCCCCAAGGAAGCTCAGATATTGGACGTACTAGACAAAGATGTACAGCAGATGTTACATTTTGAGTACATGTCAAGAGCTAAAGGAAACCATGTCTAAAGAATTAAAAGAAAACACAAGATAATGTCTCATGAAACAGAATGTCAATAAAGAGAAAGAAATCATAAAAAAGAAATGCTAAAAGTAGTCCCTCAGACCAAAATGAAATGTAACTAGCTAGTTACACTAGCTAGTAACTTATATCCCCATGAAGAAATAAAGAACACTGGTAAAAGTAATAACATAGATAAATGTAAAATATATATATATTAATGTATTTTTTTGTCTTTACATCTTCCTTTTTCCTACCTAATTTAAAAGATAATCACACACACACACACACAAAGACAATCACAGATGGTGCTGGGGCACTGGATAGCTACATGAAAAAGAATAAATTTGGATTTGCATTTCATACCATATGCAAAAAAAAACCCAAAATGGATCAAACACCTAAATGTAGGAGCTAAAAGTATAAAACTCTTAGATGGAAACATACTTGTAAATCTTCATGACCTTGGATTAAGCAATGATTTCTTAAATATGCCACCAAAAGTACAAGCTACAAAAGAAAAAAATAAATAAAAATAAATAGAATTTGGTCAAAATTTGTGCATCAAAGGACACTATCTTGAAAGTGAAAAGACAACCCACAGAAAGAGAGAAAATATTTGCAAACAGTATATCCAATAAGAGTCCAGACCCAAAATACATAAAGAACTCTTAAAATCCAACAATAAAAGACAACCCATTTTTTAAATGGGTGAAGGATTTGAATACACATTTCTTCAAAGAGGACATTCAAATGGCCATGAAGGACATAAAAGATGTGCAACATCACTAGTCATTAGAAATGCAAATCAAAGCCACAATGAGATACCTGATCACACCTACTAGGATGGCTACAAATAAAAAACAAAAATAAGAAATATTGAGGAGGA